ACAGTAGAACTGCCTTGACGTTCGTATTGAAGATTCTCACTTTGATATTGGTTGAAAGTTGTTTTGAGTTCCATATGTTCTTCAATTGTAGGAATGCGACCCTTGCTTTGCCGATCCTCGCCTTTACGTCTGCATCTGAGCCTCCTTGTTCATCGATGATGCTTCCCAGATATGTGAAGGATTCTACATCTTCCAGAGTTTCGCCATCAAGAGTGATTGGATTGCTGTTTTCCGCTTTGAATTTGAGGACCTTAGTTTTCCCTTTGTGTATGCTGAGGCCTACTGATGCAGAGACTGCTGCTACACTGGCTGTCTTCATCTGCATCTGTTCGTGTGTACGTGATAGGAGGGCTAGGTCATCTGCGAAGTCCAAATCGTCTAATTGATTCTGAGCTGTCCATTGTATTCCGTGTTTTCCTTCAAATGTTGAGGTCTTCATAATCCAGTCGACCACGAGAAGAAAGAGGAAGGGAGAGAGTAAACAGCCTTGTCTGACTCCGGTCCTTACTTGGAATGCATCTGTCAGCTGTCCTCCATGCACTACTTTGCACTGTAGTCCGTCGTATGAGTTCCGGATAATATTGACAATCTTCTCAGGAATTCCGTAGTGTCGAAGAAGTTTCCATAACGTCCTCCTGTCTACACTGTCGAATGCCTTTTCATAATCAATGAAGTTGATGTATAGTGATGAGTTCCACTCAACTGATTGTTCGACGATGATCCGTAGTGTTGCAATTTGGTCTGTGCACGACCGATCCTTACGGAATCCAGCTTGTTGATCTCGAAGTTGGGCGTCTACTGCATCTTTCATCCGGTTCAGCAACAATCTGTTGAAGACTTTCCCTGGTATTGACAGTAGTGTTATGCCTCTGTAGTTTTCACATTTGCTCAGATCTCCTTTGTTTGGAATCTTGACGAGGTGTCCTTCTTTCCAGTCCATCGGCACTTGTTCCTCCTCCCAAATCTTTTTGAATAGAAGATAAAGCATGCTTGTGGTTGTTTCGATGTCTGATTTCAGTGCTTCAGCTGGTATGTTGTCGGGTCCTGCTGCTTTCCCGTTCTTGATTTGTCTGACAGCCATTCTAATTTCTTCCGTAGTTGGTGGATTGACATCTATAGGAAGATCTATGTGTGCTGCTTCGATGTCCGGTGGATTCATTGGAGCCGGCCTATTCAGGAGTTCCTCGAAGTATTCTACCCATCTGTCTCGCTGTTGTTGAATTTCAGTGATTGGCTTGCCTTCTTTGTCTTTGACCGGCCTCTCTGGTTTACTGTATTTCCCTGATAGTTTCTTCGTTGTATCGTAAAGCTGTTTCATATTTCCTTCTCTAGCAGCTTTTTCCGCCGTCGTTGCTAGTTCTTCCACGTATTTCTTCTTGTCGGCTCTAATGCTCCTCTTCACTTGTTTGTTTGCTTCTATGTATTCAGCTTGTGTTTGGACTTTCTCTGCTCGTGTTCGGCTGTTGTTTATTGCTGCCTTCTTGTTCTTCCTTTCTTTGATCTTGTCCACTGTTTCTGTAGAGATCCATTCCTTATGATGGTATTTCTTTAGACCGAGAACCTCTTGACACGTTGAAGTTAATGCTTCCTTGATGCCTTTCCAGTTGTCCTCCATAGTAGTTTCTTCTTCTTTCAGTAGATCTCGTAAGGCTTGGAACCTGTTGTTGAGAGCTATCTTGAATTCATTGAGTTTGACAGTATCTCGAAGGAAGGCTGTATTGAACCTTTGTATTGCTGTTTGTCCACCCGTCCAGTTCTTTTTTAGCTTCAGTTTCAAATTGGCTACAACTAGGTGGTGATCTGAAGCTACGTCAGCTCCTCTCCTGGTTCTCACATCTTCCATTGTCCTTCGGAATTTTTTGTTGATGCAAATATGATCTATTTGGTTCTCTGTAGTGTGGTCCGGTGAGATCCATGTAGCCTTGTGTATACGCTTGTGTGGAAATATTGTGCCTCCTATGACCAATTTGTTGAATGCACATAGATTTGCAAATCTTTCTCCATTTTCGTTTCTCTCTCCCAGTCCATGTCGTCCCATAATATCTTCATATCCAGTGTTGTCTATTCCGACTTTGGCATTTAGATCTCCCATTAGAATGGTGAGGTCCTTTCTTGGGCATTTCTCTATCACTGACTGCAGCCGCTCGTAGAATTGATCTTTAATGTCGTCGTTGCTATCATTAGTGGGTGCATAACATTGGATAATATTCATTAAGATCCCCTCCTTCTTTGTTTTGAATGATGCTTTGATGATTCTGGATCCGTGGGATTCCCATCCTACAAGTGCATTTCGTGCTACTTTGGACAGCATAAGAGCGACTCCCTGAGTGTGTGGAGCATTGTCCTCTTCGTGACCGGAGTATAGCAGCATCTCTCCCGTAGCTAGCCTTTTCTGTCCAGCTTGGGTCCAGTGGGTTTCGCTGATTCCCAGTACTGCTAAGTTGTATCTCCTCATTTCCATTGCTATTTGACTGGTCTTCCCGGTTTCCCACATTGTTCGAACGTTCCATGTACCTATAAAAATTTTTGCTCTGGTTGTTAGAAGGGGCATCGGCCTCGTGGCTTCCGAAGGAACTCGGCTTTCACCATGAAGCGTCATAATTCTTCTAAATGAAGACCTTCTAACTCCCAGGGCAGAGTTAAAATGGTTTGGATTATTTTTTCTGGTAAGCGTTTTTTAGCGAGTTAGTTTTCTACGGGATGGGGACGCTAACCCCATGCCCAACCCTCCTCCTTTATCCGGGCTTGGGACCGGCAGCAACCCTATAAGAGCTACAGGCGGAGTTAAAATGAGAATTCAGTCAGGATTTTTTTTTCGACGAAATCATTTACTTGAGCTGTACATTCGTATATATAGTTATATGGAAAATGTATGTCTATAGAAGAGTAGTATCACAAAAATGGATTCGAGAATAAATAACAAATGAGGTTAACGTACTAATCAAGGGGTAAGGAAGAACAGAATTTATGGGTCAGATAATAGTCCAGTTGACAGATATGTAGAAAAGCGACAAACAACAAAGGTCATAATGATAAACTGAAAACTTGTATAAGGTAATAATAATAAATGATTAGAGTTTAAAGTGCAAAATAGTAATTTAAAAAATATCGATAATAATTAAATGAAAGTGCAGAAAAACAACACCGAAACATAGCCATTAAGGGAATCAGGGCCAAGGAAGGATGAGAGGTTGGACAAATCTTTTCTGCACGCAAAGTCCAGGCTTGAGTTTGTGGATTGCCAATGCCTCTGCGGTGCATAAAATATTGATTTGAACCCCCTTCGATCCAGTTCCTTTGACTCTGTAGACTACCTTAAATGAAGAGTCCTTTGGAGCGATGTGTCCACAGTTAATTAAGTGCTCCTGTATTGAACTAGTGATTGTTTTTCGTTCCCCTTTTAAGAGCCAGGCCAGATAATGTTCCGAGATGCGTTTGGATAACGCTCGCTTTGTGCAGCTTATGTAACTTGCCCCACATGAGCAAGTAAATTTATATATGCACATTGATGTGGCCCAAAGCGAAAGTTTGTCCTTAACACCTCCCAGAATGGTAGGTCGGCTAGAGAAAACTATTCGGAACTTAGCTGAGTAGAATGTTTCATTCAATGATTTCGAAATCCGTTTATTTAGGATTTCAGCAGCCGTGTCTCCTTTAAATTCCATATTCATGAATAGAGTTTTCTCTGCTGTCGATGTTTTGTCATGAAGTCTGGGTGCCAAGTTGCTATCAATGAACCTCAGTGGATAACTATTTTTGATGAGGGTCTGTCAAAGATGAAATAGTTCCCCAACTGTTGTGTCATTAGAACAGATTCGCTTGATCCTCGAAGATAAAGAGTGAATTAAGTTCCTTTTTCTACTTAATGGAACCCAACTATGGAAGTTCGTGTATTGTCCATTCCAAGTAGGTTTTCTGTATATAGATCTCTGTAAAAAACCGTCAGGCATTCTTTTTAATCGGACATCAAGAAAATTAAATTCATGGTTTGCCTCTAATTCTAAGGTAAATTGAATTGATGGGTGACAATTATTGAAAATATTCAAGAATTCATTGAGGTCCATGTCTTCTTCACAAATAATGAAAGTATCATCTATATATCTCTTATATAAATGAAATCTCTTAATTATTGATTGAAGTACTGAATTTTCTAGATTAGCCATGAAACAATCCGCCAAGAGAGGACCCAATGGAGAGCCCATTGCAACGCCATCTATTTGTTTATAGAAAACATCATTAAATCTAAATTGCACGTTGAGCGTACATCGTAGTAGTAGTTCTTTAAGGTAATGTTTTGGGATACACATATCAATATTATTGTTTTCAATATAGTCACATAAAATACAAACGGTTTCTGTGAGAGGAACATTTGTAAAAAGAGAAGTGACATCTAATGAGAACATTTTCTTACCGGTTACGTTGATATTTCTAATATAGATATTGTTACAAGGAGGCACCAATTACATATGCGCCACACAAATCTCATTCTTTATGTGTGAGAGCTGTGATACTGCCCTGGTGCCCAAAACGAAGCAGGTTGTTTTCTTAGGGGGCAACACTCGGAGCCTCTGACCTGAAGGTCTGATCCACAAAGCAGTGGAGCATTGTCCCATGGAAGCCGGTAACCAACAACTGGTTCATTCGCCATTTATTCTCGCAGGATACTGGAGCCCATGTGCACCATCGGTTTAGAGTCCGGTTAAGGCGCCGGACATTCGCTTTTCGTGCTCTCATTTTCGTAAACATCACCCCCGCCACGAGAAGGTAGTGAGTAGGACCTCCATGGCAGGGGCTATATATGCGTGGTTATGTTAGGGCATTTCGAGAGGGAGAGCGGACTCCCCCCACTCTCGGCCGTACCAGGGCATTTGGGGGCATTATCGAAACTACAATGAATGGATCATAATTTTCAATCTATCTGTTGTATCTTAATATGTTCATCTGCTTAACCAACCACACTTCGTTTTTCTTTCTCCTTTTTCTCATATATGAATATTTAGAAGTCTACTACAAATATTTACTGAACCATTGTTTCAGAAAGATGGGTTTTTCATGGAATTAATTGAACGTCGTAATCAATCAACTGGTTTCGGTGAAAATAATATCAATGCTTTATGGGAAGCATTGGAAATATCACAAACATTGTAAAATTATCTAGTCAATTGTATACCATCAGTTTAATATTTCATTTTTAATCAGTTATGTTATAGAGTATCATATCGTTTTCTTTATCCCACTGTTTATCACCTCGCTTTCCATCGGCACTTGAGAAATAAGATGCAATTTTATACTTAATTAACAGAGAACAACAGATATAGACTGAAAAAAATTAGTACATGGTTCGAGTATGTAACTGTTGTCTAATTTTCAGTTTAATATTTAAAGGTAAATGTAAAAGGTAGTTTTCGTCACGAATGGACTGTATAAATCCTACTCTGCATCTTTTCTATGCACGTGCTCCTGTAAACACTTGTAAATGTGTAAGCCTAATTGGATGCAATATTTGTATAATTATCAGAAATCTAGCATTACATATTTATTAATCACTGAATACACTCTCTATCTTACTGAATGGATTGGTTTTGGTTACGTAAACTATGTTTAATGCTTGATAGTTCTATTTCTATACAATAATATTCAGTTCTGTGGAGTTAATAAAATAAGGTTAGGAATAATGTAGGAAAGCTTTTCTTTGTCATCATGCTAAACATACTATAATTAAAAGAGAACTGTTTGGCGAGTCGAACCAGTTAGTTTCATTCAAAATATAGGTTCATTTAATAGATTTTACTGTTGTATTCTAAACATTTTTACAGTTTCTGAATATTAGTAGATAGCATTCGAATTTTATCTCCGGTTATTTTGTTTTGTAAGGTACTTATCAACAGAATGTAATTACACCATAGTAATTTAGAACATTAACGTAAGTCAGTGGGAAATTTTAAATCACCAATCTACTTCGTCGAAGAAGCACTAATAACTATGATATGTAGTCAGAGGTCTGATTTCTTAAAAATAATGCATACTCACAAGTGTATTTGAGTAGTATCACTCATTGACTGTGTTTTATTACAACTGAATTGAGAAAAAAAACATTGCCAGTCTACATTTATTGGTTGTTTGAATCTTCCCATTAATGTTTAGGATTACAATTGACCACCCGTTTTTAGCATATGTGGCTTTTGTGCGGATTGCCTCGATATTATCCTTAATTCACGAGTATTATGACCAGAGGTGAAGGACGTCTATCAGTGGGGTCCAGGACTCACGTTTCGTCCCGTTTGTGACTCTTCAGCCGGATGTGCCTGCATCTCAGCGTTAACGTCCATTTCCGAACTTAGAGCTTATGACTTTGTAGCAACATTGTTTCAGATAGTTTATCCTCTTTTGTTACTTGGTGTTTCTTTCATCTAACAAACGTCCAAACTGTCTTTAATATGTCCAAGTTGTCATTAGTCTACCGATTCGAATGTAATCTTTTAAACAAAAGTAACAATGTTTTCGAATATCAGTAACATGACAAATAATATGAATATAAAGAAAGTTTGACCATCAACTAGTTAAATAACTCGAAAATAAGTAAGAATTAACTAGACGATATGTCTTAAGGTTTGTAATTTTTGGTAAATTTGAATTCTGATCCCCAGTGCTATCCATGATACTTTCTTTGCCCTATTCGAAAGTTTTCAAATGAGTGTACCTTCATTCTGAGGTTTTCATTTATGCTGAGTCTTGAGCCCTGAAACTATCACTTTAAGTGCCAACGGGTTATGTGTGAGCTAATGAATCCGAATGATCACTAGTTCAACCGAAATTATAATGCATTTCTTGACATACCTAGCTCCTCATCATGTTCCTAAATACAAAGTTTTGGTTACAAATTTTAGTGTCTTTAGCTTGCAGGTAGCAGTAGGATCTAGTGTCTGCGTTTCTTTTTGTTTGAGATTGATCAGATAAATGTAAATTGACCCTAGAGTTCTCATAATCGAGGACCCAATATTCTTTCTGTAGTAAAATGATCGTCCTGCAATCTACTACAAACGTTTTTTAAATTTGAAATTCGCGATTTGTATTTTCGGTGTATAACATTAAATGCTCCTTAAACCAACTAAAGTGTATCGATATCCTTCTAAGATCACTTCCAATTGTGTTTATAAATGTATGTGTGCTCGTAATGACAAGTACGTAGGAAGGACTATAAGAAGAGCACTTAAAGGGCTTTCTAAACATATTCCTTGAAAACTGGGGAGGAATGTAGTGCTTACAGGTGCATTCACAAGACATCTTATAGACAGTGGACAAAGTGAATATCACATGAACGTTTATAATACTTAACTAGCACGGAACAATGCTTTGTATAAGAATTTGACATCAAGGGATTTCAACGTGACCCTTGTATACAGAAAGAAAGTACAGTAAACCTATCGTTGACATGGTGAAATAATTATATCGTTGTAGTATGCCAAGTGCATAATCCCTTTAATTTATATTTTAAACATTCGGCCTTATTATTGCCCATTTACTATGAAAGATGCTTTCTTCATTTTATATCCCGGTTATTATTTGTGATATCGCTCCTTTCTTTAAACGACTTCATCTTCAGCACATAAGTACTAATTAATCTTAACTATTACACTAATTGTGTTGTTATATCTTCTAGTTTTTGGTGGTTTTATTTTTCGCCATCGCTTCAAATCCAAATTTATTGAATAAAAATAGAATTCAGCAAAGAGAATTACCTTTTCGATTTAATCATTCACTTACACTGTAGCTTTGTATGTATAATTGTTTGATAAAGAAGGAACCGATTTGGAAAATTTCTTCATATGTACAGTAGAGCCATTTATACTATCATATTGACATAAGTATTTTATAATCAGTCATTTGTACTTCTATTGATAATGCTTCTTCTGTTTCGGTACAACAATAATAGAATAATTCTTAGTACTTTCGTTTTGATAACTAAAGTAATTACATTACTCCCTTCAAAATGAATTAAACTATAAACAGGCAGATCAGTTATGCTATATGTAATCATAGAAATTCTTTATATTCTATGGTAATTCAGCTTGTATCTAATTGAAATAAAGTGTTGTCTGGCATTAGTTAAATTTCCAATTCATTAACAAGGATTTTTATCAAGGAATTTATTATGATAAACGATGATCAGTTGGATATTGAGCAGTCAGGAAGATTATAAACTATAATCATTAAAGGTGTTGTTAGGTGTTGATAAATGATGACAGTCCTCAAACTGTCAAATAAATATCGGAAAATAAAGCCAAACACTATACAATATGACAGGGACAGCCACCACTATTGCGTGAATCTGGTTGGTCGCTAGGACATTTGGGATCATTAATGGACATCGTTAGCAATCCTCTAGAGAAAGCTACCTGATTTTCTCTTCATACTAATATTAGTACAAGTAAATGAACATACCAGCATAAAAAGCTCGTCGCATAATTACAACACGCTTATCAAATATCTTGGCTTAAAACCGAAACTGTACTAAAAAAGATCAAATTGGATTTCAGTAGCTCTCCAAATCAATTCTTAGGCTAGATTACTAGCGCTACCCAATTGAAATAGGAATTTGTGGAGCGTCACTGTAAAATATAAATATTTTCTCTTTACTTGGAGAGATTGGTTTATAATAATGGATTTCTTAATTATGATAAAGAATTTCTCTAATCCCACCGTAGTTTATCTGTAAACATTTTATGCACAGCTGATTTAACATTAAAGCTTTCTTCAAGAAACTTATTATGTTTCACTCTTTTTTTTCAACAGGTATTCTTACGGTCAAGCGATATCAATTAGTACTTTTATTTGTGGAAACCAAAACGGTTCTTTCCTTCATTTAGAGATGAGTTCACTAGCCAATTATTCTGAAAATTTTAGAACAGAAAGTTAGGTTTTTTATATCATTTAACTTTCGTTTAGTCTCTATGTAGTTTTCAAATGGATGATAAATTTAATAGACGATAATTAATGTAATGTTCTGATGTCGTACCGGTAACAAAAACTTTTACTTACCTACAAAATATCCGTAATCAGTTAGGTAGAACATTAATAATACTAACAAAATATCTCCTCACTACTTGATAAATACACTGATTAATTACAGCGACACGAAATCTTCGGAATTCAGCATTAATCAATAATGCTTTATATGATTATTCGGAACACCTTTTTTCACATGTACATAATTTTAATTATCATATTCTGAAACCTGGTCAAGTTCAATTATCTTATAAAAATTATGCTTACATTTAGTGTAAACTACTAATCATAGTAATTTCAATATGCAATCAATGCATTCTGAAGAAAAGAAAACTAATTAGTATTTATTTCATGTGAAAATAATGAATATTTTCCATTTACCTTGTCTATTATACACGCATCATTTGCACCACAAAATATTTGATAATTTCATAACAGTCATGTCAAGTTTTTCCACTACTCAAGAGACACTTTTAATTGAGAATGTAGATACGTTAAGTTTTGTGTCAAACAAATATTTCCATAAGAAAAAATATATAGATGTTAAATAATATATTTCTTTAAAGTATTTCTTAATATTTGAGTAACAATCTACTCAGTTTTTTAAATGTGAATAGAACTAAAATGGACCTCAGTTACATGGGAGATTTTGTTGAAAAGATAGAAATTGATGAGTTTGTACTGCATTGATAAGCCATTACAATATTAACCATATATTTAACACAGATTATATAGATTAGTAAAGTTTTAAATACCATAAAGGAAACAAATTATTTCTTATCAATTTATTACACTGAATATGAAAGGTCATTTTAATTTTTCCATTTAATTAATCAGGTCAAAGTGATATCATATTTGGTCTTTGTCATACAGCTAGTCATGTGCATCTAGGTCCCAGACACTTAATGGTTTATGAAGTTAGACTAACGATCCAGTCAGATAACGCTTATTTTTTGAATTTTAGAATTATTCTTGTTGAATATGATTTGGTCTTTCTTTCACTCCTTTAGAAATATTAAAAAAGGGATATTACGTCACATCCCACACATCCTGGAACACTCATAATTAAGTAATCACAGAATAAAGGTTAAGGTTTTCCTACCTTAAAGATCAGGGGTGAATACTATATTAATCAAAGAAGTCGGTAAATATCATGACTCAGAATATCAGTAGATATCATTTTGGCGTTTGAAGCTCTGTGCACTGAGCTTATGCTTCAGGATGAACGAGAAACTAAGATATGCGTACATTCTGATAATCAATTTTTAATATAGAAGTATACAATAGCGGTTAATCAAAGATATAGTTATCCCACTAAGTTCAAATGCTCTTTCATGTCACTTAAAACATGGTTAAGTAATAACAAGCTTATGTCGAAAGGCTCAAACGAAAACGCAATATTTTTATCTTAATGTAAACTACAACAACAGAGAAAAGTACTTGCAAATCTACATGGTGAGCTCCGAAGTTTGTTTTTGTCGTGATTACGAGAAGAAAAGTGACGCCATATTTAAGTTTGGTATTGCTAAAACTAATACTGTTTTGGGAGAAAAAAAGGGGGGTAATGTAGAGCAAAACAACTTTGTCAACATACATAAATCTAATCATAGGGTAATATTAGTCACTTGCTTAGGAATCCTCAAGATAGAACAAAATCAATTGTCCAACTTACTCTATTCCTCAATGAATAATCAGTCCAGAAAAGCAAAATAATACAAATCCGAATAATTACTTTATTACGTTACAAGGCTTTTCACCTCTTTTTACTTGTAACTTCATTTCGAATTGAATCCAAAGAAACTCGATCTTTATACCAATTTATTTACGACTAATAACAATTAATGTAAAATATAACAACCTCAAGTGTAGTTTTTTCAAAATTGTTTAATTGGTGATTACTTCTGTAGCGTGGCGTCGAGTTGAGATTAACTATGAACACCGCTACAAAGAAACACGTGCCAGGTAAATCAGAAGGCGGAGGTTGGACGTAACCAAATAGATCCATAAAATCCTCGAGAAGCCAAATATTAGAAGGCAGTTAATGGACCAAATCGAGATATATATTTGCTGGCGATCTCGTGGCATCGAAAGGATACCGAGATCGTGGACACAAGCTTGGTTACAGAACGTAACCGAATTCGCGCGAAGTTACAATCAAAGTGTGTGAATGAGAATGAAAGCACAAAATAGCTGTCATTAGCACAGTCAAACAAAAGCACATTAAAACAAACACTGGTACAGTTGGTTATAATAATAATTGTTTCTATTAAACCAGTCGTGTTCTCGTGATAAATGTGAGTCACTACACTTCAATTAATGTCCACTTTTAATGGTAGTTTGTAAAGTAATCCGTGGAACAATTTCTGAGCGAATTATATATCCAAACATTGGCAAATTAATTTTAGAATTCATGTATTCAAGACGAATTAATGAAATACCTGTAATTTGTTTCAAGCAACTAGCTTGACTGCTGATTTCTCTATGGGTTATATGAATGTATCATAACTACAAATAAATGTGGTGAGACGGGGATAGTTTATGCTTTCTTAATCTGTATGTATAGTACAAGCATACATAATAAAAAAAAACAAAGAAAATGTTATTGATTGGATGAGTAAGTGAATTAGTAAATAAATTTTTATAATGTCTCCGTTTTTTCAGTAAACAGTTCAGCATCAAATTTCTTCTCGGTATATTTTAAAGTTTAAACCATAAGAGATAACATTCTTTTAAAATTAAAATTGAAGTAAGATGAAATTGATAACACACCTAGAAGAATCAGAAAATCAATATTTAAAAATCATTTACTTCTTTAATTAATTACATTATATGTAATTCACGCTACGACTTGTAATTCCAGACGAATATATTCTCAAGTTTTGTTTATATCAAACTTTGTTTATTTGGTTGAAAAAACAAATTTCAATAAAACTAGGAGTAACTCAAATATTTTCAACAACTCTCTTATGTACTACCAATCATATATGATTGTATAAATTGAGTCGTGTTTAACAGATTATTCTTAAAACAATATTTTTCAACATGTCAACCTACCGTGCAATACTACTGTTAGTGAATGTGTATTGGGATAAATTTTTGTTTTTTGATCAAGTAGACCTTGAATTGAAATCGTTAATTATCTTGACAGGATTAATTAAATGTATCTCATTAAAAGAAAGTTTTGGAAAAAAGAACTGAGAACCGGTTTGAATATTTGATAATAGTGATTACTGAATTAGAAAGGTAGTCAAATGTTTAATACAAATTATCATAAGTTTTTTCTTAACACATGGTATGGTAATTAAAAAAATAATCAATAAATCATCATGATAAAATAATGATTACGGCATGTATAAATCACGCGAACCGTGAAGGATCGGTAAATTAAACCACTGTTACGCCATCTCAAAGAAGTAATAATTTCTCAGATAGAGGCGATTGATATTTATGATTAGGTTATTTTGTAAATGGTAATTCTTAATACAAACGGTTTCGTTAATAAAACGTCAGATTTCAATAGGGTTATTTTGCTAATCCATTAAAAGCGTTAATTGTATTTACTTTTACATTCTTTCTAGTTCAGCCGTTTATAATTATGATAATAAATATTTGTGTGTTTAAACAGTTATGTAAATGGGTTATTGGGCTTGAGAAGTGAGCGTTAGGTTTTTTTCACGTTATTTCAGTAGCAAATATTTTCTAAGTTTTCAGTCTAGCAAACTGTTTACATGAATTAGTAAATGTCATATGTCAATGACATTACAAATGTTATTTATTTATAAGGTATGGAATGATATTTGAAAATCATCGACTATCTTTGTAAAACATAATAGAGGAACAATAAAAAACTGTATGTACATTTTCGTCATGTGTGAATACTGTTCTTAATAATATGATACCTGAAATACTGGTTGTATCAAGTGTCAATGAACAAGCCAACGTAGTCTGACGAAATAAATTTCCATCTCAATTATACATATTAATAATAAATAAGATCAATTGTATCAATTCACATTTAGGTAATAAAGATGTTTAATTTCAATATATAATAAGTAAATTGGTGACTTTGTTACAATGATTAAAGGTAATATACAAATTTAAAAATAAATAAGGTGATATGATGAGTATTTATAAATAATAATTAAGGTCAAGGTAACGATCACACGTAGTTCATACGTACGCATAGTTCTGGTTTCAGGTTCTTTGAACATAAAACAAGAATATAAAATTCTTATTTTTCTATTCATGAAACGGATGATATTCTCAAATAAAAACTTTCATCTAAATTTGAACGAATAGTTTCACAATATTTGAGCGCCCAGTTAATGTGAGACATTAAAAAGAAGAATATATTTGTAAAATCTCAACGAATGAATTTGAAGTAAATTCAGCGTTTCGCCTGGCAATCTGGTCCAAGCTTTTTCAAGGAAAATATAATCAAACAACAAAATTATCGAATATAAATAGGTACATGGTTTTTTTGGGTTTACTGTATCTTGAGTAAGCCATCCAATCAAAGTGAAGCATTTTTTATAAATAGGTATTTGCATTAATGTGTAAGAGACATGTTTATTTGCGTAGGGAGTCTTCTTTTCAGAAATTTAAAACAGTTAGTCCCTTTGTAAAATTTCGACAATGCAATGAGAAGACGTAGTTTATCAGAATCATGTGGTATATTTGCGCAATACATTTCGAACAATCTGATCACACATATACTTGTTAAGAACATTTATATATGAAAAATTAAAAGGTCAACTAGACAGGTTAAGGGTAAGTCATAACAAAGAAAAAATATTAAAGTACACAAAAACAAATGTGATTACCACTCTGGACAGTAAAACAGTACTACCAGGGTAGGTTAAGTGTAAGTACAAATTGTTTTTGAACACATAAAGGGGGTTTCAATTTTCGTATAGCCAAGGCTTCAATAAACCTTAGTATACGTCCTTGAAGGCTTTTGTACAACACAACAAATGCTGATTTGATATCAACCTTATGACCCGTCTCAATCAAATGTTTCGCAATGGATGATGATGTCTGTCTATCCTGTGGTCTTATTTCACCATTGGAATTCATCTGATTTTGCAACCATTTTGGTATATGTTCACCCACCCTTAATTGCAAATCACGATTGCTCCTCCCTACGTACGTGTTCCTGCACATACATATAAATTTATAGACACAATGGGATGTGACACAATCGTTTTCATGCTGTTTGGGCTTTTGGTGAAACATAGACCTTGTCTTTTCAATAATGACAAGTTGGGCTGCATAAAATGTCTGGTTGATAGCTAATTTAAGTCTCTGTTTCAACATGGGACTATTTGTGTCACCTTTGAATGGTAGCGTAATATAAACTCGCTTTTTGGGTGCCAGAAGCGTCATAGGTCTAGTCATATTGCAACCCTTCCAGCGGTTTATGAACTTCAAAGGATAACCATTATTGAATAACGCATCAGTCAAGAGCTTCATCTCTACTTCAATAGTATCACTAGTGCAAATACGATTGATTCTATTGAATAAGCTCTTTATTAAACCACGTTTATAATGAATAGGGCTATGAAAATTAAGATATTGTCCTGTCCATGTTGGTTTTCTATATATAGCACGTTTGATGGAACCATCATCTCTCCTAGTAATCAGGATGCCAAGAAAAGGAAGTTGCTTGTTCTTCTCTTCTTCACATGTAAGAGAAATGTGGTTTTGACTACTATTGAATTCTTCTAACAAGTGGCTTATGTCTTCAACTTTATCACCTATGATTATAATGTCGTCTACATATCGTTTATACAGACCCATCTTTCGAATTGAGTCTCCAATTAAATTTTCCACATATCCCATGAACACATCAGCTAGCAATGGTCCTAGAGGGCTTCCCATAGCTACACCATCTATTTGTCTGAAGTGTTCACCTTCAAATGTGAATTTTACATTATCTGTACATAATAATAATAAATCTTTAAGAGTTTTAACAGGTAAAGGTAGTGGAAGGTTTTCCAAAGAAATAAAGTCACACAAAATATCAATGGTTTTCCTAAGAGGTACATTTGTAAATAAAGTGTTTACATCAAAGGAGCACATTGTCTTTGTCTTTATATTTATATCCTTTAAGTAATTGATTAATTCGAATGAGTCAGTCAAAGAATACTTACAATATTGATTTCTGATAGGGTTTAATAATTTTGTAAGCCATTTTGCCAGGTTGTGTGTAGGTGACCGACCCATAGATAGAATTGGACGTAGGGGGCTATTAGGCTTATAAACGTGGTTTAATAAAGAGCTTATTCAATAGAATCAATCGTATTTGCACTAGTGATACTATTGAAGTAGAGATGAAGCTCTTGACTGATGCGTTATTCAATAATGG